GTTTCTGAAGAAGGGTCTTGACCTGAAACGTCAGCTTTCCTGCTCCTCTGATGCTGCTTGGCCTGCTGTGTTCATCCAGCTCTACACCTTGTTGTCTCAGGTTCTCCAGCATCAGCAGTTCCTACTATCTCATTAACATAAAGACCCTATTATCTATTCAAGACTAGGATTTCCAGCAATTATGGGCCATAAACACCATCCCTTATCTTCCTAAAAACTTTACTGACTTTTTTCTCTCAGGTCACTTAGCTTCTGTAAACAGCAGGTAAACAGAGCATGTGTTAAACTTTTGACTTAATTTCTAGGAAACCATATGGTAAACCATTTCAAATCCAGAATATACTTAAAACAGTTCCATACCTTCCACCTTTTCACATTACATATTCATTCATAGGAGTGAGTATTTCTGAGTAGGCCAGCATTTATTGTCCATCCTTAATTGCCCTTGATGGTTTTGTGGTTAGCTGTCTTCCTGAACCGCTGCAATCCTTGGGGTGTACACCTGCAGTGCTGCCAGGAAGGTAGTTTCAGGATTTTGACAATGCAACAATGGAGAACTGGCAATCTCGTTCCAAATCAGGAAAGTGTGTGGCTTTGTGGAGCTTAGAGGTGGTGGTGTTCCCACGTATTTGCATCCTTTCACTTTTAGGTGATAGAGATCACAAGTTTGAAAAGTATTGTTGAACCTTGGTGAGTTGCTGCAGTGTATCTTTAAAAATGGTACATACTGCTGTCATTGTACATCAGTGGTGATGACAGTGATTGTTGAAGGTGATGGATGGCGTGCCAATCAAGCAGACTGCTTGTCTTGGATGAAATCGGACATCTCGAATGTTGTTGGAGTGCACCCATCCAAGCAAGTGGATGAGTATCCCATCAAACTCCATCTTGTAGGTAGTGGACAGTAACAGAGGAAACAGAGGGGAAATTGCTTCATACATAATTTGTAACCATTGACCTGCTGTGGTAGCCAGTGTTTGTGTGACAGGTACAGTTTGGTTTCTGGTCAGTGGTAATCACCAAGTGGTTGATAGTGTGGGATTCAACAATATTAATGTAATTGAATATCAAGGTAAGATCATTAGATCCTCTTTTGTTTGAGATGGTCAATAACACTACGATTTCACACCCATTCTACCATTGTTAACAGGTCCATTGTATTCCATCTTCAATCTAGTCTGTTGCTACTTTCTAAGTGCAGGAAGACATTGAATAAGCTGCAGATTTCTGAAGTGTGCAAAACTGTGTTTGGGAGCTGAGTGGCATGATGGATGGGGGCAGATAAGGGAAAAGCGAAGAAAATTAATTGCATTTTTCGGTGTCAGGCTATCTTTTTGAGATCATGTATAAAACTAACTGTATCAAACATTGATTTTCCAGATTTCTTCACTGATCCTTATAGTTGTTACTCACTGTCAAATTTGCTTATTGGTGGTGGCGGCAAGCTGTTAACTGGCCAACTTCGTTCTTTATTTATTCCCAAAAGGCTAACATTGTGAAAATATATATACTAGATCATATGTTCTTTTCTTTTTTTCATAGGCCCACGGGTGGCTGTTATAGAAACAATGGTGATGGATAATTTTCTCTCAATTAAGACATTTCTAGTTAGCAGTTATTTGAATGGCTCCACATACCTGTCTGCATCGGTTTCTGCAGACTCGTGAGAGCAAATTGTTTGCATTACCATTAATTACAGAAGGTTGCTTTTTTTTTCAGCCAATTGTCCATATTTGCCTAAGTGTTTGCTGCTACGTTGGAACAAAGTGCTCAGACCCCCATCATATTATAAGACAAATGATCCAGTTGGTTTTTGAGGCTCGTTGTTCACAATGTTCATGTATGGTTTATGGTTCCTAAATTAATATTTATTGAGAAAAATAAACAAAATACTGTAGTTTTACATAGTTTGTGTTTTTAATTTTGCTCAGACTGCTTATGGGCAACAACTAGGGTGCACTCCTGAAATCAATACAGCTTTGTCTTGTTTAGTTAGAGCTTTGCTTAATGTGAGTTATTACGCAATGTTGCTCTAAATTTATTTGAGGGATTTCCCATTGACATGAATGCTGGAATCTGAGCCATGAAGAGGGGTTTTCTGTCTATGGTGCAATGGAGGAACAGTTAGGAAACTTCTGAGTGATGAATGTAGTGAGAGTTTTTGATGCTCATGACTAAAAATTGAAGCCCTCATTCCCATAGTCCCTTCAGAGGGTTACGTTGTTCCCTGACTGGTTTCAGAATTTTGTGATGAGTGCATTTCCTTTGCCAACTTGCATGTGGCGTTATGGAGGTTTGAGTCATTACAGCAGAGAACAAGGCTATCCAGCTTACTGAGTCCAGGCCTCCCCTCTACAGATCCATTGCTCTATCTTTAAATCCTGTAAATGAATTTTCCCTAAACACCCAACCAGTTATCTTTTGAAATCTTTGATCAT